GAGAGAGAGAGAGAAAGAGAGAGAGGGAGAGAAAGAGAGAGAGAAAAAAGAGAGAAAGAGAGAGAGAAAAAGAGAGAAAAGAGAGAGAGAAAAAGAGAGAGAGAGGGAAAAAGAGAGAGAGAGAGAGAAAAAGAGAGAGAAAAAGAGAGAGAGAGAAAAAAGAGAGAGAAAAAAGAGAGAGAGAGAGAGAAAAAGAGAGAGAAAGAGAGAGAGAAAGAGAGAATCAGAGTAATCATTTCATAACTTAGTTATTTCAGAAGGAAATTGTTTATGCTGCCATATTGCAAATCTAGTGTGGCCTAATACTTGGCAATAAGGGCCAACATACTCCTTTATAGCCTATACTCCTGTATAGCCAATATAGCTGGACTATAAGGGAAGGAAAATAGCACAAGGTCTGTGTCCTGTTTGTTGAAATACTGCTCTAACATTCACCTGATATATATTGGGGAAACCATGGAAAACTACCAATCAGAGCAGCCAATACCTAGAATTCATATCCAATCTTGCGATTGATTTTTATCCTGCTATGTAGTGTTGAAAATCTGTCACTGTCAGCACATGAACCGTAAGACCTCTAAGTCAGCAACACTGCAGAGGCAGTGGCAATTGTGTTACTGAGGAATTGCAACTGGTAATCTGAGTGGGGAGGTTTGACAAGACAAGTGGGGAGGTTTGAAAAGGTGGGGGAGGTTTGACAAGTTCTTTGATGCAGAAATTTCCTTAGGGTTCATGAATAAAATGCCCAATTACACAAATATTTAAATCATAATAATTTTTCATGAAGAAAGGTGATAATTGGATCCATGTGCATTGATCATACTTAAGTTCATATGAAACCTACAAAGTTATTGGCATTCCTCACCTTCGAGAACTGAAGAAGGCCTTGCCTCTTTAAAGTGACTTCCAGCCTCTTAGCATTTCTCGGGCCAAAAATAATAAAGTAAAACAGATTTTTTAATTCCAGCATTATAAATGACCTATTTTATTACAAAAAAATTGTTCATAAAATGACATTTTGCCTTACAGATTGTGATATGTATGCTGTTTATGGCACAAATTCCATAATCACACATTTAACTAATCTATCAAGAGAATCGTGGGATAATAACGAGAAACTGAACAGCCAACCACTGTTTTCACACAATGTCAAATATCTACTTCCAGACACAGACCGACGATACCTGTTGCATTCTTTTTACAGTGGGCCATGGAAATGGGGTAAAACCAGAAAAGCGGCTGAAATAAAAGGATTCCTAACATCCTTTACCCTAAGCCGATTAAACTTGCAATACTAAAAAGTGCAATGGAAAAAGAAAAAAATTAAAAAAAGGGGGGAAAAAAATTCTTAATGATAAAATTTTATTTAGCACCAATATATAACCCCCCCCCCATTGGCAATTGTGCTACTTCCATGTATAATTTCTAGACACAAAACTGATTTCATTTTTGCTGTTGGTTTGCTCCAAAAGCTGAATGATCATCCATAATATTTTCAGAAATGAATCAATTTTTTTTATGCAACTAATTGAGAAGATTCAGATGCAAGAAAGATCATTGATTCAATCTATTCTGTAGAAACAATATTGAACATAGCATTTGCAAAATGGAAATGTAAAAGAAAAGGAACTTTTATTAAGGTGGTTTTCCAGAAAATATGATATACAGAAAAATTCTATATTTAGTTATAACTAATTTATTTATATATCAGTTGGCTCATCCTTACAAATGTAATAAAAATTTTAAAAAAAATTATTCACAAAGTAAATCTTTTCATTTGAAATACTTATTTCTGAAGCTAATTTATACAAAAGCAATCCTACAACTACATTAAATCAACTACCACTCTTAATAGCTTGTTTCTAGAATTAGCTATGACACACAAATTCTTTGCAACATTATTCTAGACAATAAGCAGCTAGACGTAAAATAAATTTATTATCTAAGTCCTTTGAGCATGCAACAATTATGTGAAAGCAACTTTAAAATTCAACCACTTATTGCCAGGAGTCCGCCCTTCATTTATTTACTTATTTATTTAATAAAAGGAAGTTCAGTTTTCATTAAAAATAATTAAAATACAACAATAATATATTAAAATTTGCAAAAATTATAAGATATTCACAATTTACTGGTTGAATTTTATGTACAATCTTGCAGAAGCTTATGAAATCACAGCATGTTTTGATCCTTTAGGCTGTGATTTGCTTTTTCCAATAGGTTGAGGTTTATGAACAGTTTGCCGCCGGAGAAGGGCAACTTCTTCTTCTTGTTCTTTTTCTGCCATCTCCTTTCTCTAAAATATAGTTATGAGGTTTTAACTTTGACCTAAAAAATAAATAAAAGTTTTGTAAAGAAACTTGACAGACTATTATCCTTACTCTTTGTAATTCAATCTCGATCTCTCTCTCCTTTTCTTTCAGAAGTTTGTCAAATTCTTTCCAAGATTGGGCTCGAAGTTCAGTGTGTAGGATATTTTCAGGGAGTGTAAGCAGTTTTGGGACAACTCTTTTCTTTTGTAGTATTGTAGCAGCATAAGGTTTGAAGGTAGTTTTCTTTTCATCATCCTGGAAGAGGATTACAAATTTGTGAAAGAGACTAAAACAAAATATTTTAATGAAAGAAGAATAAGGAGAAATATTAATCATTTTGTTTACATTCGATTTTGTAGTAGCAGACAGATTTCTTTCGATTGAAGGAATCTTTTGCATGCAACTTGACCCAAGCAGGAACTGATTTTGCATGAAAAATCCTTGCTTTCTTTTCTTCTTGCAGAATCTAGAATTTTAAACCAATTAATTTACATAGTATCGTAGGCTTTCACGGCCGGAGTAAACAGAAGATAAATTTTTCCTGGCTGGTCACCCCACCAGCCACCGCCCCGAAAACTGCGCCCGCATCCCTGCCGCCACTGAGGATGTCCACCGCAGACGTGGATGAACAGTTTGACCCTTCAATTCCAACTAGACCACGGCCTACCAGCCCAGATAATTTATCTTCTAAGTAATTATTTGGCCAAATAAAATTGTTTCATAGCTCTCTTTCATCGTTTGAACATTTGTGCTCTTACATTAATTAATATTTAAACTAATGCTACTACCATTTCTCAACAAATTTACACAAAAATCTCAGAAGTAAAATTTGACTGTATTCAGGAAAGGAAGTGGTAAAAATAGTATTTTTGTGAACTGTTACTAACACATGCTCCTTCTCTAAATTTGTTTCAAATTGTTGTAATGAATGGTATCACAATGGTTTCAACATGACTGTTGATCTCCACAGTTTTAAATGGATGCATAGTCTGTTCTTGATATATGCCTCAACAAATTTGACACTAATTATTTGCAAATAAATTATTTAACTCCAACAAGATTGGAATGATAGTACTGTAATTCTGAAAGTTCAACTACGTGATTCACTAATCCACAAACAACTCTAATGTTGTGTAGTATCAACTGTTTAGTTCAAAAGTTCAAGTTGCAGCAGTAGCAATTTCTTTCATGTACCACGTAATTACTATTTTATCAATAATAAATTCTAATGCAAAGTACAATAAGTTTATCTTACTAGCCAGTTCCAACTCCTAAATAAATTGTATCTCAGAACAGTATGAACTCTTTAGGATCACAGCACATCAGCAATATGATCTTTGTGGATTATAATGCCACCACCATTCACATTCATTATATACTATACTGGTTTAACACTAAGCTATACTGTTCTCTAGGCATTGCAGCACAATTTCAGAAAACGGGGAACTCACTAAATCACTAAGCAGTTTCTCAATGATGAGATTTTTCATCCAGTTTCCCCAATCCTTTGAGTAAATGCTCTTTTGCTTCTGGACATAAATATAACTTCACTATCGGTGCACATTTTCTATTGATCAGTGGAGAATACAGTTATTGAAATTAACATGCCCAATGTTCTTGTGGCGATAAGTTTATTCCTTTGGAAGGCCACAATGAGGAATAACAGCCAAAATCTGTAGCTGATCTGCCATTGCAAATAGTTTTTATTACCTGGGAGCGAATATTTTCTTATCAATTCTTGCCCAAAACACTCGTTTGCACCTGTATTCATAATTCAACTTGTAGACAGGTTAGAGTAGAGATCCCAGAATTTAATGAAACTTGCTCTGATGTTAAAAAAAGAAATCACATGTACTGAATACCTTTTCTTTGTAGGCATTGTTTTCAAATAAATGAACAGTATTGTATTATGACAATGGATCTCAAAGAAACATTAAATTATAAAGAAACATTACCTTCTTCCTATGACACACTACAACGCTTATAATTTTTTTAAATATATAGAATTGTCTATTTCAGAAGGCTATTTCTACTACTTTACTTCTTTCTTGGACTCACCTTTTTCATTTTTTCATTTTTATTTTTCATCACCAATTTGTCCCTTTCCTCAAAACTAAATGGATTAGGCTGAGTTTTATTGATGTTAATGTTACCGTTTGGAGATTTTCCAAGCACAATTAGATTATCACCTGTGTCCTAAAGAGTATCATGATAGTTTTATGTTCATCTGCAGTAATGAGAAAAATTACAGCAGCAATAAAATATGAATTCATTGTTCCTACCTTTGAAGTTTGAATTCTACTTTGAAGGTGGGTCTCATATGATTCAGAATTTAGTGGTTCAGCTGCCAAAGAAATAAATGACTTATCAGTTGTATCACATTGATTGTGCAGTTCTTCAGTAGTTGAAGACTTTGCATCAAATCGAAATGGTGAGGATGAATCGTGAACTACCTGCATAAAATATTATAAATATGAAAATAATATATATAAATCACCAAGTTTCCTTAACATATTAAACAAATGTATATTTCATACAGAAAATTCTTTACTTACTTTCCTTTTATACACAGTCAATTCAAATGGTTTTCCAACTAAAGGAGATGTATTATCACACTTTTCTAATTTGAGAGGTTCATGTATTTTTGAATTTACTGGCATTACTTTTGATTTTGACCTGTAGAAAATATATTTAGAACATTTTGAAATTTTATTTACATTTGTGTCAACCCAATGTAATTTGTCATGAGATTATATAATGTTATTCCCTACATTTCTTTTTGTTCTCCATCTTCAGTTGATTGATTTTTCATGGATCTGACACGAGTTTCAGTCAGGAGTATAGGTGACTCGGGAATTGTTGGATAGTATTTCGTGGTTGGACTTCCTACACCAAAAGTAACAATTCAATATTATTAAAACAGAAACAGTGTTCTATATTCTTATTTTTCTTGCCTTTAAAAACAAAACAAACTGATTATAGCAATCAAATACATCACTAGGGTTGAAGTTGTTTTCTCATGTGCGTAACTTGTGGCTCAACTATTCCTTAAACTGACTGTCCAAAAATTGGTCCATAATCATAGGGATCTTACGAATATATACATTTCACATGATTTAATAACGGTTCTATGAAAATGTCTCAGAAACATATTAAAAATTAAACCAATACAGTTTTGTTAAGACAACTACATGAAATATGAAATACTGACTGTTGTAGCAATCTACATTTATAATTAATACTATTCTTAAAAACAATGATTACCAATACTTGATGGGTAACAAAAATATTTATAACTATCTCATATATTCGAGGACACAGGCACTAACCTGTGGCCTCAGTGACATCTGGGAGGGGGATTTGCTCCAAGACCCCCCTTCCCCCCGATTTATTGGGGGACACTAATTTGTTTTCCATTCAAAATAAAATATGTATTTATTTCTAATTAAAATTAACTGCTACAAGCTACTTGTTGCATGAAGAAATGAATTCTATTTTTGTATTGAGGCAGGGGAAGGTATCTTTTGTTTGAAATAAGGGACCCTCGTGGATCTGCTGTACCATGCATCTTGCTCCTTCCAATCATTCCTTAAACACCATCTTATTGCCGTATGTTCACATAAACTAAATGATTTGCTGAAATGTACAAGCAATAGTTATTGAGATTTAATCACTGATTATTTATGTACCATTGCAAAAGGAACTAATAATAACACCATCATATTGTATTATTTGAATTTCATATTATTATTATTATTAACTTGATTGGCCACATTGGACCACTTGAGTCGTTCCACTTCACTAGTTCATGGTCGACTGTCGAAGGCGTTTTGTCACCTTGAGGTGAGGATAAATCCTCGAGTTACAATTCTGAATGTTATTCAGAAAGGTGATAATGAGAGATGGAGGATGATGTTATGAATAGGAGGTGAAAGGACGAACACAACACAACCATGCCTGAGGCGGGACTCAAACCCGCAATCCTTCGGTCCGAGATCGCTACGGCACTACTGCCTTAATGATCTCTGCCACCGGATCGGCTGAACTTCATATACTGTATATCAGAAGCATTATTATTACTAGTTAATGTATCCAATAAAGTTAATTAACGCAATGATTATTGTAAGCTGTTACAAATTGATTGATTTAAATTTTAACTAACTGTAATTACTGTAATTTATTACTGTAAGTTACTTAAGAATATACATTTTTGTAATATAATGTAATAATTAATAACAGTAGTGTAAGAAATTCTGCTATATTTACTAATGTTATTTTTGTAAATTAATTTTGTTTTTTAATTACTATTGTTAAAAATTGAACAATGTTGCTATCCTGAAAATAATATTGATGAATGTAAGCAAGTCCAGAAGGAATAAAATATATCATGACCACCACTACAGAATTCCTTATTATTTTCAGTGATGTTTTGAGCTCCCATTTGCGTGATCAAAATTTACACTCAAAAAAAGTTTTGGAATATTGAATTGAATGTTTGAAAGCAAAAATCAGGAGAGTGAGACAGATTATCTTGGATGGTTTCTACTTCAGGGTTTCCAGAAAATGAAGTGTTCTGATGACCAGAAAATAGTACTACTCCTAGAAAAAATTAATACGTTCTTTGCATTTTCTATTTTTTTAGTTTGTATTTACGAAAATTGAAGACTTAAGAAGTGGAAAATCGACAATATGTGTTTGAGAGAAAAACACGGCATCAAGGGGATCTAAAGACATTTTGTCTTGAATGGTTAAGACTTTCACAGTATCTTTTTATGCATCACATCATGCGATTCCATACAGTGATTGTTGTGGGAGTCAAAACCTAAATTAAAAAATAAGATATTTTGGATGGTCATTTCAAGAAATTGCAGAATAGAAACTACTGATCAATAATTTCTAGAGATATGGTACACATGTACATGCGCGATCAAAATATTTGTTTAACAAATTGAAAATTGTACAAAAGGGATCCAGAACATGTATATTCCCTCTCCAAGGGTGGAAATAATAAAACAAACACCAAAACAATTTACTGATCAAGAAATGACAACTAATGATTTTCATCAGTGAATTTACCGAATGCAAAGTCAATGAAGTCCACGATTACAAAAGATGAAGAAAGGAACTGTACTTATTGCTGGAAGATACAATAGATGCCTTTGTTAATTAATCAATTATATTCCTTCATTCTTATTCTATAAATAGTCAGTTAGAATGACACATAATGAAACATTGTGTGTCTACCACAAACCATCATTATTAAAAGAAAATAAAAAATTAAAATGGGTACTAACGTAAATAGTAACGTAGCTGGCTCTCAAACAACTTTGTTTGTTCTGCTACACTTATAAATTTATTTGCAGTATTGACATCATCTCTTTTCCTCTTCTTGCTTTCCTGCAAAACTTGTATCATTACTATGAATCCAAATCTGGTACATGTATTCAAATTTAATACTGTCTTAACTTACCACAGTGCTCTGAACATCGCTAGTTATTTCTTCTAACATTTCGTTATCCTTCAAAAACCAAACAGAAATAATATTTTCACACGTCCCAAATATTCCCTAGGCCCTTCTTCTTCTTCTTCTTCTTCTTCTTCTTTACTTAATGATGAAAATAGGTATTTCTCTTCGTAGTATCAGGAACGTTCAATGTTGGGAGTCCGGGTTTATACGTAGTCTACCACTCGAATTCGACTAGTTCTAACAATTTATTAAAATTACACCGCGTCGAATAAAACACGCAACACCGACCATGACGGAGGGCTGCCCATCGGGAACTAGATACTATTCAAAACCGAGGAGCACCGAGGAGTGTAGGGGTAAGACAACGTAATGGTTTTACGTCTATGTGAAGGACTATTTGTTATACCTGAATTAAATAAATAATTATTATTTTATGCTTTTAAGGCCAAATGTAAAACACATCACGAAAATAGAAAATATACGTTTTCATTGAACATCCTACAAAACATGAAACGTATTGTAAATGGATCAGATAAAGTATGAAATATATGATTACCACTTGGAGTAATTCGATAAAATATGTTTTATAAAGATATTTATTTGTAATAATCTTGCTTTCTTTTTCAGTAGCCTTTTCAAAAAGAACCTTACATAAAGTAACAAGTACATGTTCATGCTCGTAGCGTTGATTTGAAAAACGATTGTGAAAGAAATATCAACTGGAAATCATTGTGCCCAAAATGTTGGCTATGATACTTCCGAGCGCGAGTTTCAAATCGACGGACGGACATTCCGATTGTGTCACTGACTCATGGAGCGCTCGTGAAAGCCATACGATACGTGAAAGCCAAGAAGTCTATAAAAGAAAGGCAAATAAAGGAACAATTATTCAAAAATGAAATTAGATAAGACCTGGAGAGCTACAAGAAGATGCCGAGATCAGGAATGGTTAGACTAGTATGTAGTCTTTCCTCAGAGCTTTTCTTTAATTTTATTTTTTAAACTTTTTCTTACACAAGTTGCGTAATGCTGCAGAATATTGTTTTTATATCTTGACAGAATTTACGTTTTGTGTGCCTCTTATATAGAAAAAGTGTTTTTCTTTCTTTCTTTCATGAAGGAATAGATTATATTAAGAAAGAAATCTCCATTTTTAATGAAGTAGGAATGTATCGAAAAATATCATTTGCAATTCCATAAGGCTTTGTTGAAGACAGAACCTGGTCCATATTATTAAGAGAAGTTTTCTAAATTCCGGCAAAAAATGCACGCAAAAATTATGAAGCTGTTTTTGAAATAATCTTGTTGGCGTTATTTTTAAATTGTCACAATTTCACTGAAAATTATGCGAAAATAGCTCATATTTAAAAAATGGAGAAGAGGGTCCAATATATAATAACCATTTGCCATTTTCGTTTCCGAGGTTTAAATGAAAATCACACATATATCATGTGCCTACTTTCCTCTATTTGAGCAGAATTGAAATTGTTTTAGAGGTTTATGTAAAGAATCTCCCTAAATTAAAAGATACATTTCAAATTCGCAGGGTCGCGATTTCAGCCAGATCGATCAGGAAAGATCGGTTTTGGTAAACATTTCGTGAACGGTTTAGGTGCTACATACTTAGACGGACGCGTGGAAGTCAGACGGTTTTTGAAAAATAGAGGAGCTGTGACAGCAAATACTTTCTCCCGGCAATAAGAGAAAATGTATACACCGGTCCCCAGCAGCACATACTTACTCGCATTATTTATATCGTTATTTTCGATAATTCAGATTTTAACGAAACAGAGACCAAGTGCCATTCTTTAAGCGTCGAAGTAAGATCTATGTTTTCAGAGCATATTTCTTCATATAAGAAAATTATTAACAATTATTATGGTTTATTGAAATTATTGTTATATCTTTTTATATGATTTTTTTTCAGTTTTTGAAACTACAGAGCGCCGAATATGAGACCAACATAATTTTCTTTACCTTTCTTTGATAAATACGAGGAAATAATTTTAACAAAAAATTTGGAGCGGTTTTTAGAAAATAGTAGTTTACAAATTGTCAATTTCATTCAAATATTCAATGATTTAAAATATATTATATTAAGGAACTTTAACTATTAACGAACAGATTATAGTGGTGCTACAACAGCACATAATTCCTCGTATTACATCTAACGTTTGCAATTTTTGAGAATACAGAGAGTGCAACGAAAATGGGACGTGCGCTATTTTAAAGAGTTCTTTCCTCTATCTGCTGAGAAAAATATTTAAAAAATTAGAGCCGTTTTTGAGAGTTTTGTTTGCATATGGCATTGACTAATGAAAATAGAAATTAAGCGAAACTACTCGTATATTCAAAACATTGTACATGAAGTCACTTAAAGATCTGACTTTTATAACATATTTCGTTAAAAATCTCTATAATCAATATATTTTTGCTTTGTAATTATTTTGTTTACCATTTTCGAAAATGCAGTTTGCCAAAATGGGATCAACATCATTTTTGCCGTCCTTCGCTACATACGAGGAAAAAAGATTAAACAAAAAAATGGAGCTCTAGAAAGTAATTGTTTAAAAATTGTCTATATTCTTTAAAAATTAGTTGCGTCTTCGTCGACGCAATGCGTCTTTGAACCCTTGTTGAGCATTGATCGCTTGGAGTAATTCTCGTTTTTTTTTTGTCGAGTCTTGCCACCTTTTATCCCTTCGGCCGCCGTTAGTAATCTAGGTTCCCAGTGTAACGTACTAGCGAGCGAACCTCGTGGCAACTATTTGGGGACGGGTAGTAAGGGATTAGCCACAGGAGGGAGAGAAGGGTTTTCCCTAAAAGCAAGCACGTGGCAAAGGGAGACACGTGGATTTGAGGGCCTCCGGTCTTCGGGAACGGAGACCCAAACCTCAGGGCAAGCAGAAGTGCGCTGCAGAGCCGGCGTGACGTAGGGTGTCACGTGAGCCTTGAGTATATAAGGGAATGTACAGCGACAGTTGGTGGGATTTGAAGACAGTGGGAGAACCTCGTGCAGATGCACAAACTTTGCGCAGCGGGGGTGCAGGGGCGAGCAGGGTTCATGAGGCAAGTCACGTGTTTACGCGCCTGTAGGGACTGCGGTCACGTGGGAGCGATGCTGTGTGCGTGCTCCGAGGTGAGGAGTGGTTAAGAGCCACGACTCGCATCGATTCTCAATCGGGTAAGATCACTCCTGCGATCAAGGCAAACCGTCAGTTGGTACGCCAGAACGGACTTTGTGTCCTAATGTGACATCCGGTCACGAAAGCTTGGCTTTGTGCGCGCCGCAAATGTAGGAGCGAGTGCCACAATTGAAACCGATCATCAATAGGGTTGGGATCGTTTCCGCGATCAGGGGATAGCAGGTCTATCAGAGCTAGGGAGTAAAGTGTAAATTCATTGTAAATATTTGTTGTGTTTTTCTTGTAAATAAATATATGTTAATATGAAAGCTCGCGTCTGTGTTCGCTGTGAGTGTCCATGACGTCACACCAGACGGTCACCCGCCTAGGAATCCGCGTTGTCTCGAATTGCTTAACTTTCGTGATTTCATGGATCGTAATTTTAAGCAATTCAGCTAACGATGACAAAACGCAAAATTACTAGAAAATAAAACACATTTTCAAAAAAATATATATGACTTTATATCAAAATCTACTCTTGAAAAACTGATTTCATTAAGGAAAAAATCTTTAACCTCAATAATATTGTCGTAGGAAGACGCAGAAAAAATTGAACTTTTGAAATTTAGTCATTATAACAATGAGACATGCACATTTGTTTAAGAGTTCTCCACGCGGTCCCAGGACGAAGTGTAAACAAATAATTGTAAAGAACTACCAAAAATCAAAATATCGTAGGACTTGGATTGATCAGATCAATCGGAGACTATCGATTTTGGAGAAAGCGTTTGAACTGGCGTTGGCCAGAGACGGAGGGATAGACGTTTTGCCGTCAATCCATTTCTCGGTATATTGGACCAACACAACGTGGATTCTGACAGCATACCATGCCAGAGGATGTAAACTACAAATAGCAAGATGACTTGTCCACTTTTTTGTTACCAGGACCCGGTAATAAAATCGTCGGTTTCCGTCACACAATTACGATATTTTCACTTTACTTCTTAAGCGAGAAAGTAAAAGGTCACCGCTTCCTGTTCCGCGCAATTTCAATTACACAACTACTCAGAGGTTAGCATCAGGCCTTGAGAGATCGCAAGTTGAAGTTCAGTTTTCGGCGTAGAGCACTCCTCATGAGTTTGTAGACAGTTCTGTTAACAAAGAATGGCACCATGATAACCGCACTTATCCACTAGAGGCTAATATTTTTTTGGGGCAAAATAAAAGGAAAAGTGTAGGCATATGCTAATAATTCTTTACAAGAACTCAAGAACAATTTTCGGAATGAACATTTGACAATTAAAGTCACAGTTGATCACAAATTAAGACGCGCACAGTGCATTCAAACAAAATTATTTTCTGCACCTATTGTAACAAGCAGTGTGTATAGCACTTGTGTAAATGCTATACAATGTTAAAGTCATGTAAGGAAAGCATTTCATTGCCTTGTTTCGTTTTGTTGTTTTTGGCTTTTTGGTGTGTGTGTGTGTGTGTGTGTGTGTGTGTGTGTGTGTGTCTGTGTGTCTGCGTGATTGCGCGCGCTTTTACTACTTCGCTCGGTATTTGTAAATTAAGCCAAAGAAAGAAAGGGATCATACATTTATTTATTTAATGACCAATACATTTTTCTTGCCGAGTAAAGAGGCTCAGTACGTAACGCGCGTTGACTTTGCAACGGGAGGTCCGGGTTCGATTCCCGGGGCGGCCATCCTGACGGGTGGTTTTCGTGGTCATAAGATGGAATGGTTACAAAATGCCACGATTACCTCCCACCTACCACCTCCACCATCACCCTAGTCCTTTTATTCCTCCTCACCACCCTATCACTTCATTCAGCATTCCCTGCAAAAGGCAGAAGGGCCTTGCTCTTAATGGGATCTTAGTTCAACCACAACAACACCCAACACCATATTTCCTAATTTGGACTCATCCGGTACTTTTATGTCTCAATGTTCTTGAATACAAATCAGTAGTACTGGGTTTACAAAAGTTTCTCGGTGGTAAGCGTGCTCGCTTTCCACGACGCAATCCCGGGTTCGATTCCCGGCCGGGGCAAAATTATAACCGTGGGCTTTCCTTACAAATGTCCCAGTATCTATTGCTGCGACAAAGCCACCCTAAGGTTATAAGACCAGTATATGTGGATGTCTTGCTGACCACACGAACCCCTTATCCCATGGTCGAGAGGCTGGGCCACCGCTGGTTGGCCTAGACCCGTTTCGGACTGTTTAGCCAAAGCAAGGACAGAATTCAGTAGAACTGCCCAGCTATGAGATTAAAAACTCTTTGTTTTGATATTCATTCATAAAAACATTTGAGGAATGTGTTGCTGATTGTCGATGTTGCAACTAATGAGAACTTTTTTATCTATAAATTAAAT